ATGGAAGGGGAGACAACAGCAGTTCTCTGGTTTTAATCTAATACTGAAGGTCCACTGAGATCCACAGGAACCTGAGCAGCAACAGCACAGTGAATGGAAATCAGAGCTTGCGGAGCAGAGAACAGGATAACAAAGAAAAGGAAATTAAATTAAGGTAGAAAATTGGTAGCTTTTTCCCAAAAGATCAACACACCTGTAATCAAAAACCCTGTAAGGTGTCTCAGCATCTCATTAAGCTGACTTCTCTGTGCAAATCAGTACTGAAGTGAAAATTTGTCAACAACATCGATATTTAGAAGAAAAATGGTCAACAAGTCACTCCCTCTATTAAGATCTGGACTGTGTTACGAACAAAGTCTGAAAGACGTTTCCCGGTGATTATTCTCTACTGAATGTGGCCATTTCTGCCCAAACAACAACAGGAAATTTGAAATAGTTTTGCTGAAAAATGAAAGGCAATAATAATAATTAAAAAAATATTTAGCACTCCAGAGTACTTCACATATATGAAGTACTGCACGAACATTAATTTATCCTAATCATCTCCATGAATCAGGTATGTATTATTAATAGCACCATTACGCAACTGCTGCAGATTCCCGTTATTTCTTTTGCTCAGTTCTCTTATTCCTCTTTTCTCTTTCACATGCAGAGCACATCCCTCTTTCATTTGTTTGCTCTCCTCCTTTTCTCCTTCAAAGTTTCTCACTCACCTACTCTGGCACCCCCACCCTCTCTGTTCCCAGGGCTAAACATTTTAAGACACACAGGGATGTTTTATGTCCTTAGCTACCCTGAACACTTTGAGCAGGTTCATCTCATCTATCTGCATCACTTACACCTGATACTCTAAGCTGAAACTTTTTTTACTGGATCAACTGATAGCCTGCATAGCAACACGCACCAGAAACATGCAGTCATCTGACAACAATTAAAAACACAGCTCATGAGAATCTGCACCAGCACAGGCACCCGCTTCACCACCAGCCACTTCTTTTGGCAAAGGACAAGTGTCTGATTTTTGAGCACTGGAGCTGAGTAATAAAGCAATAGTCATACAGTGGCCCTACAACGACAGAACAAATCTACTACAGGAAATGCTGGCCACCACTAAGTGGTCTAGTTTTCATCTAGTTTTACAAGGAATTCATCATAGATAATAAAATCCGTAATTTCTATCTAAACCCTGGAAGCCTTCATCAATTTTTACACAAATTTATCAGTATCACCTGATATGATATCATTCACATACAATGCAAGCACACAAGGGATACTCGCATACACACGCAATATTGCCAATTTAATCAAACACATTAGTCCCTTCTTTGCTGCCTTAGACTATAACTCATCAGTAACTGCAGAATTTCTCAGGGCAAACACTAAGTTGACAGGACTCTTTCCTCTGCGGCAGCACTTTTCAGAGCAGTTTTTAAAATGCTAAGCTAGATCTATTCATCAAAATTGTTTTCTTTAGATGGAAAACAGCACTACAAGAAGAAGGATGACTTGTTTACCTCCCTGGCCAAAAGCATACAAACAGAAAAGATGAGACAAACACCTTTACTGAACAGCACAGACCCGAAAAAACAAGCATCCAAAAATCAACTGCAAAAAATGACCATGCTAGACTTGGTATTTCTTTAAGCATCTGACATGCCAAAAGATCTGAGGTATTAGGTAAAAGTATTAGCAGGGCATCAATATTCGACAAGACCTGTCTTTCAGCCTCATTTTAATTAACAGGTGTTAAAATTTTTATTGAAAAATTTAGGCATTATTGTTTTTCTTTCCAGAGGTAGGTAAAAACTATCCTTAAATGATCTGTATAGAAATTAAGTAGCAAACTGAGAGACTCAGAAACTATATGCCTCCCACCTACAGTCAATAAAATTTCTAGACAAATCTCCTTTCCCAATAAAACTCAGCACCAGCTGATTTATCAAATGAATTGAACCAGCAGCGAAGCTTTCCGTCAAAGAGAGACCACCACAATTTGGTGGTCTAACCCTCCCAGAACTGGGGTGCGGCAGCGCGGAGCCCCGCGTGCCCCCAGCCCGAGGGCTGCCCCGGCGGCACCGTGACCCTAACGTGCAGGCGCACAACGCCCTCGTGCCAGCAGCGCTGACTCAGCAGCCAGCCCCACCCAGGGAAAGTGAATCCAAATGGATGCACGATCCTCATGGCTTAATGGACAGCAGTTTTATGTATTACAGGCATAGCAAGGGTTTGCACAGCACTTCAGCTGTTGTAATTCCCTTGGTGCTTAATATACGTCGGATCCTTTTATTCATCAGAACTTTGGACTCAGATTCTTTATTTCCCCTCCTTTTTTCCCCGTTACCTACATATGTAAAATCAAGACAGGCAGATTCTCCTTCATTCTTAGTCCTTCCAGAAGAGATGATGTTCAAAATGTGACAGAAAAATAAAAAGCCAGATTTAGGCAAAAAGCAGAGGTCCAGCTTCTCTCCAAAGTCCCTCCCAGAGAAGAGCTTTCTGGCTCTCCTCCTCTTACTCCCAAGTGAGATACCACCACAAACAATACCGCCTCGGGCTGCCAGCATGCTTTTTAAAGAGCATTCACGGAAAACGCCGCCAAGAGTAAACTCAAGTTTCCGCTTACCCTGTCTCACATGGTAGTGCATAAAGAAAAAGGCTGACAGACGAGTCTGGTACTCTGCAGTGGGGTAATAGCTCATACATTCCCCATTATCAGATCATGGAATAAATACGTAATAGGTTAAAGTACTTAATATCATAAATTAAGCAGGGTCAAGACCAAGTGAACGCTCCAGTATTCGATATGAATATATCATTCCTGTGGCATTATTTCATTACTTTGCAGCATATAATAATACACTTGCAAAGTTTATGTTCCCATCTCCATTTTTCAAGCTCTTTTAATAGGTTTCACAACTTCACTAAAAACATATTTGAATTTTTACTGTTGTGTCTTTGTGACAATGTATATGTATTTATCATGCAGTTCTATTAATTAGTCTAGCACCGTGATTTACTGCACTGCAAATATTCAGCATCAACACTCACACAAAGCTTGTCAGCTTATCCTAGGAGCATGTTTGGTATAATCTGCCAGCTCCTGGTGATTTCTTGGGACCTTTTGCTAGTTTTTACAGCTTTTCAGCATTAATAGCTCATTAATTCCCTTCTCTGAAGGCAAATATGTTGAAACTCTTGAATAATTTCCTCTGCCAGTATCTCTTTCTGAGCTTACTGATTCTCAGTTCAAAAGTTTTGAACATCTTGCAAGCTTTGATTTTTCGCCAAGGCTGTCTTCTGCTTCTACACCAGATTTCTTCATACACCTTACAGTTATCTCCACCTCGCAGTAGTATTCCACGATTAGTTTTGGTTCTGTTTTCTTTTCCTCAGTGTCGTGGCGGTTTTTTTAAGTTTTGACATTTTCAAATAATCACCTAGAAGATGGCTTAACTTCTGAAACTGCCTTATTTAATTCTATTTTTCATGCATTTTTATCCTAAAAACATACTGGAAAGTTTAGCATGTTTAAAGAGATCAAAGTAATCAATGCCTCAGCGAATGCTAGGCTCAAATTCTTGAAGACATCCACCAGATAACGTTTACAAAATGGCTTAAGTTTTCCTCTCCTCACTGTTTCAAACTTTTCAAAATAGTCAGAGGACTGTCAGTTTCTTAGAAGTATATTTTACAACTCCAGAAATACTTTATTTGTAGCCTTCTTTAACAAAATGCCAAATGTATAAAAGTATTTACCACCCCTCCAATAAGAAAACAAAGCAAAACAGAAAACCCCACGCACAACATCTAGGAAGAATCAGGTTTACTCAGATTAACTGACATTGATTATTCAGAGGACAACATTTCAGGTAACATTCACCTCCAAAAAAATTAAGATTGTTTTTTTTTCCCTGGAAACTTTACATTTCCTGATCATGCATGTTTAATAATAAACGCAACCTAACAAAAGTCATCATTCAAGCTTTAAATCAATTAATTTCTAAGTTTTAAAGATATTCAAGAAAATTGAGAATGAAGTGGTGGTAAGCCACAATCGAAAAATTTGGTTTTAATTTCCTGTAAAAGCTTTTTGTGCAGTTCTGGCTAGAAGTTTAAGTTATCTTTAAGAAAGCACATTTCAGAAAGCCACAGGTAATTTTTTTTTTTTTTTTTTTTTTTAAAAATGAAAGCCTGCCCTCTTGTGTAAGACTGCGGTTTAGCATGACTACAGTCAAGAACACAGAGGCATGAAGATCAGTGCTACTTCTCGACTATCTAGAAAACATGAACCTTCCAGCGCTCTTTTATCAGAGTGCGCTGCTTTTGCTGAATGGGGAGCACACAAAGTGGCTACTCATAATCTAATGCCCTCTCTGCAACAAGAATAAAAAGAAAGTGCTTCCTATTTTGCTTGTTATCTTGGCTGATAAACTACAGTCATTTTGCAAATATTTAAGTGCACAGGTAATTTTGGAATTAGTCTCTTCCACCACCTTTTGTACACTTTCAGTAGAGACAAAAGGAAAAAAAGGTTCTTCCCTGCCTGACTCTGACAAATAAAGAAGAAAGGGAAAAACAGCTAAATCATTGGGACTTTCTGTTTTGTTTTTTAACCCTTATCCCAGTTAGTATGGCATAAAGGCATCTACTTCCTTAAGAGAGGATGCCAAGCATGAAGTCTGAGTCACAAGCGACTTGCGAAAGCCCACTGCAGACAACATATAGATGTCACTTAGTTGACAAGATCCTAAAGTCAAAATCACTGAGAGCTACCATGACTACCGCCCACTATATGCGCTTCACAATCAGCATAAGCAATAATTGTTTATCCAGCTGCATCAGTAGCAGCACTGGCAGAGAATACATAGTGCAAGGCATTCATTGTGGACATATATATCTACAAAGGGAGAAAGCTTTCACGCATACTTGAAATTAAGAATGTTTCATCCCCCAGAAAAGTTAGGCACCTCCAACATAAGTAAATAACAAATAACACCTACTTTCGAAGGTGTTCGTGTTCCTTCAGGAATAGTTCTGTTCTTCTGTTATTCACGCCAGACCCACTTTTATATGATCTAAAACCCAACAACAAAACAGAATCTTATCACAACCTTAGTAAGAGCTGTGAATTCAAGTAACTTTTTTTGCTTTATTCAGAGCACAGACAAATAAGCTATGCCAAGTATTCTCCTGCAGGAGGGTTTCCCCCTTCTCCCTCCGAGGACAGCCCTATACCATTGCTACAACAAACAATACAACTTACTCGATATCTTTTCGTACTGATCCCAACAGATTCTCCCTTTCTCGTATTGCCAAAAAGTTCGCTTTGGTTTTATGGAATTCATGCGTATAATCCTGTAATAAAACAATTATTCCAAACTTAGGATCCTGAGATAAATTTAACAACACAATACACTCAAGTAAGATCCAACCATCTTTTAAAATGTTACCTGTTCTCTAATACAAAGTGCAAGAACAACTTATGACATTAACATCAAAAATGCTTGGAAGTTAATGCAAAGTGTTTTTAAAACTCACTGCTCTTACAGTGGTTGCTAACTTTTGATAGCTACAGCTAAGGTCATAGAGGGAAATCCACTGTAATTCCTTCTCCCAATTTCATATACCTTCAACGTTCTGATGAATCATCGTTTTGTGCTGGAATTTCCCATTACTGGTTGAATCAGAAGCCCTAGTAAAACCTACTTATGTGTTGTGATAAAGATGTTCTTGGGTTTATTTTGTTAAATTACACCAGATGTAAAAGAAGTCTTTTCTGAACAGTGAAGATGACTTTTTTTTTTTAACATGTTCAAGTCGCAATTTTACATTTGAAAACATTTCAGGCGGCTAATACTTCTTGAAAACCAATTTAACTGACAACTGGTGTCCACCAAAACCATTGTAAACATTCAGCACTATTTTCCATATAAATTCTACAGCTTTTACAAAACACTATGCTTTTTACATCGTGTATTGCACAGATACAAAACAGAAATCAAACTGTACACGACCAGCCAAATAAAACATGCATTTTTAATATTACTATGCCATGAAAACATCACCAGTTTGAAACACGGTTGATTTATAACACTAATTAGTAGCTTTAGCTATCATATTTTCTTCATCTCCCTTTAGCAGTTTGGATGGGTTTACAATCATGTTTTCTTAAGTGTGATGTTCCTTCTCATATTGCTATGTGATAGACCACACAGACAAGATAATTCATTACAGTACCTTTCCCCTTTTGCTTTACAAAAGACGCCTACATAAGATGGCATGCTTTACTGTTCTCTCTTAGTTAGGTACTAGTCACCAATATGACATAAAAAAATGCTATTTTTTCAACTCAGAGTTCACTGATTGGGGTGCCTGGAGAGAAGAAAAGCAAGATGGGATCGGTGGCATTTAAATCTTCTGGTAAGACATTCAAGCATGCTGTGATATCAGTACTGCTAATAATTATTCCAAACAACAGAAAAAAAAAAAGGAAGACAGACACACATTTGTTACCTGCAATATGTCTCTATGACGCTGTAACGTATGCATCAGTGCAGCATTCAGGGACGGGACTCCTGCACTGTTTGTGTATTCTGCCATTTTGTCATTTATTCCAGTAAGCTAGAGGAAGGAAAAAAAAACCAAAACCACAAAATGGCTTATTGTTGTAAGAAAGTTACAATGCATAAGTTGAAGGAGCTAGCTCTAACGACAGATGCATACCTTCAGAAACGCTTGTCTAACACCCACACTAGTATTTCCTAACATTCATTATAGAAACCTGTACTGCAGTATTTCCTAGATGCTGAAGTAAAACCACAGTAACTTGAGTTACCTTTCCCAGAAGTTGTTCAATCTCCACAGCCATGGTCTCAAACATTCTGTCCTGGCTTGATCCATTTAAGAGAGGAGTTGTGTCAGAGCTAAGGAAAAAGAGGAGGAGCAGTTACTGGAAAGTACGTCACCTTTTCATGAATGCACGAAATAAGGAAACACTAGTGTTAGGTGTTGGCAAGCTCCACTACCCAGGTTCCCTGAAGAGACGAATGAAGCTCAGAAAAATTACATTTTCTTATCATACGTGCCTTTAACTCTTATCTGAACTAATGACACAGTATCACCTGGGGAAATATAAACCTGGAAGATATGCCTGACACCAAACACTTGTCTACTACCAGCACCTGTCTGGCACCAATGCCCTTCTCTCCCCAACTTTTAAGCTTGATTTACTTATTTATTGGCAGGAGGGAGCACTGCACTATTAGCATGTTACACCAGCCACATAATTACACCTTAATAACACAGCATTAGGACAACCCACTGACCTATTAAGCAGTCAGTGTTCTACAGAGCAATACAAACCACACAATTCATCACAATTACAGTTTTATACAGTACACCTTCCCTATATGCTTTTCAAGATAAACTAAAACCACAATGAAAAGTCCTATCTAAGCAATAGAACAGAAACACAACACAGGGTATGCCAACCTGCAGAAGTATCACAACTAACACCTTTCAGAGACTACTCATTTGTTTGGTAATCTACCATAACTAGAGTGAGAGAAGTAAGTTTTGCATAGGACAGCACAAATAACTAAAACAATTAGATTACATGGCAAGTAACAGCACAGAGCCAGACACAAAGGAGAGACTAGGACTCTGATTCAACAGTAACATGATCATTCTTGAGGCTCTCTGAGGCTTCTAGAACCAGAAATTCATGGAAAGGTTCAAAATTGATTCAATCATCAAATTAAATAAATAAAAATATCAACACGCGTACATACAGTAGTCACACTTACAACTGATACACAGTGTTGGGACCCACAGTTAATAAGCAAAGAATGGCAGATTTAAAGGTTGCGCAGAGGGACAGAGAAGTTGATAATTAGTGCTGTGGAACTGCAGGGAAGACCTCAACTCTGGCCCACAAGAGTTGAAGAAAGACTTGAAAAGTTTTATCACATTAATTCTTCAGTCAAACACGAATCTGCCTAAAGCAAACAGAAACTATTTATATATATATACACACATATGTACCTATCTGGTTCATATATATCTATAAACATATATATAGCTCTGTTACTACTCCTCCTCTTTGGAGAAAGCCAGAAACAAACAGCTACCCTTCCTGAACAGAGAGCCAGTCCCCTGTGCAACCTGGGACCAGTCGCACCTGCTCAGTGCTCCAGTTCCTTTATCATTAAAACAGGGATCACGAAGACCACACCAGCCCACCCAGTAAATTCCCATAATACTGAAGTCCCTGACAATCTCCTGCTAGTTTAATACAAAAAAACTGGAATATAAGCCGATGTAGCGTGCATTAAAAAGCCCTATTGTTAGTTCACGCACTAACCCCACAGTTACAAACTGAAGTTTAAATTCTTCTACTCCTTTACTTCCCCTAGTAACATATATGCTCTCAGGATGCACCACCGCAGCCCACACACCTTTCTGACTCACGTGCCAGTATCCCTCAATATCACGTCAAGACCAACACCACCACCACAGCATCAAGAAGTGCTGAAATGCGCTTCTTAAGCAGCTAAGCACAAAAGCAGTGGTGGGACTAGCATTAAGCAGATTACAAAAATAAACCAAGTACCACGAGCAGCATTTAAAACATAAAGAAATGCGCTAGTACCTATACCTGTCGCGCCTTCCGTCTCGGGTGCTGCTGTAGCTGGTGCAGAGTTTGCTGAAGGAGACCAGCTTCAGGTCCAGCTCGTTCTCCAGCTGCCTCGCCTGCTTCCTGAGATCTGCACAGGGCGGCCGAGAGTGGGGGAGAAGTCACAAACCCGCACGGTGACCCCAAGCCTTTGGGGGACGCGTTTGCACGAGGTGCTTTCAAGCGGAGCTGGCGCAGACCGCTCGGGAGCCCCAGGGAGGGGAACCCCCAGAGAAGGGGGGACCGACAAGACGGGGCCCTCACAGAAGGGGAGCACCCCACGCTAAAAGGGTGGACACCCGCAGGCCCTGTCCCACACGACCAGGAGGGTCCGGCGCGGGGT